TATGGGTGCGAAATGCTGTCTTGGGCACATCCTCCTCCTGCATCCTGATCTGGTGGTAACCGGCTCTCAAGTCGAGCTTAGTGAAATAGCTCGACCCATGTAGTTCATCTAGCATGTCATCCACTGTCGGGATCGGAAACCGATCCTTCACGGTCGCCTTGTTGAGAGCCCGGTAGTCTGTGCAGAATCTCCACGTCCCATCCTTCTTCTTAACCAGCAGTACCGGCGAAGAAAAAGGACTGGTACTAGGCAGAATCAGCCCGGTAGCGAGCATCTCCTCCACCTGCTTCTCGATCTCCCCCTTCTGTGAGTGACCATAACGGTATGGCCTCACATTCACTGCTTCCACACCTTCCTTCAAGCAAATCTGATGATCGACCTGACGGTGGGGCGGGAGCATGGTTGGTGCCCGGAATAGCTTGGGATACCGATCCAACAGCTCTTGTATCTCCCCATCAATCTCCGTCTTCCCTGCTGCGGAGAGAGGCCAGCATAGGACAGCGAGCTCGGTGTCCTCCCCCTTCGCGCACTCCTCCATCTCCACCGGCCCAATGGCTGTGGTCAGGCCTCTCAACCTCCATTCCTTGTCCCTCCACTGGAAGCACATCGTCAGACTCCTCCAATCACTGGTGATCGGTCCCAAGCTCTGCAGCCAGGGTATACCAAGAATGATATCGAACCCTCGCAGAGGCAATACATACAAGTCGGTGGTGATCTCGAGGCCTTGGATCTCCATAGTCATCTCCCTGTACACCTCGACGCACCGCATCGGCGCGCCATTAGCCACTCTTACCACCACCGGTCTCGTCGGACTCGCTGCCACCTGTAAGGTCTTAGCAAAGTCCTCCCCGATAAAATTCAACGATGCCCCACTGTCAACGAGGACGAGACCCTGCTGCCCAGCCACCTTTGCTCGAAACCTCAGGGTTCCGGGCGACGAAATCCCAGCTACAGAGTGTAGGGAAATCGCCGCCGACTCCCCTCCTTCCTCGCTCGCGACCCAGCCACCTCCGGCGCTGCCGCCCTCGGCCTCGCTCTCCTCCGCCGGTCGCGCGCTCCCCGGCGCTTCCCTGCCAGCCCCGACGATCGGGCTCTGCCCCAAGCCGCCCTCGGACGTCGCGCGCGCCGCCTCTTGCCGCGCGGCGCCCTCCTCGCCTCGGCCGGCCTGCCCGAACACCGCCGCCCTCGCCTCCTCCTTCCAATAGCTTGCAATTTGCCACAGCCTCTCTCGCTTCTGAGCCCATGACAGTTCTGATTTTTCCATCGCTGATTCTCTGGTTTCTAAACTGTCCCTGATGGAGTTGGGAAGAACTCACAGATCGGAACGGGGCTCTGATACCAAATGTTAGAAGAAAGAAGTTCCACAAGGGAATTAGGGATTGAGAAGAGAAGAAATTAGGGATTTGAGAAGAATTGGGGAAGAACAAGAGATAGAGAGAATTGGGAATTTAGGGATTTTGATTGTAATATTGATTATTGACTAATCTGCAGAATAGTGTTCTCTCCTCTTAAATACAAAACAGAAATAATGAAAATAACGAAACTGCCACTCCCCTCACCCGACCGGCCCAACCCGCCGATTTCTAACAGATCATCTGTTTAGTTTATCACGCTTGGTCTTTTTCTAGTTGTTACGTGTGCTAGCAGTGTGGCAATAAAATTGTCAGTTGATCAAATTCCTTTTCAATGGTTCTATCAGATTCACACCATTTTGCTTTTCAGGCAACAAGCATGTTTTCTCTCTTAGTAATTATACCTCAACCTTGTGGGAGAAGTTTACTTAGCCCATAAGGTCTAGGAGACCTTTTCCTAGTCGATTTATGAGACTTTTATTCTGATTCTTGCCCTATAAATAGACGTCATGACTCATTTACTTTTAGTAAGGTTGCAAAAACACACAAAAACTTATATACTCTGCTAGAGTAAGAGCTTAACTTTCGTAGGAGAGTCTGTAGCTAAGGAGATAGTGTCATCATCGATGGTTGTACCCTCCTTCTCTTCTATGTAGCTTGTTTGAAATTGATTTTATGAAGATGTGAACTCCTTTATCTTTATGTGAATGAACGCTATGATTTCATCTCATAGGCGGCGGAATTGTCTTATCTCGGGCTAAAGGCAATGGAAATACCTTATCTTGGGATGAATGAGCAAAGTCTGGGGATTTTGGTAGGTGAAGCGTTACATTGGATGTTTCGCAGGTATGGTGAGAATTCTATCGTTGTTGCATACCATATCGGGACGAATTAGTGGCGGGAAATTCATCTTGTGAATCAGCTCACCTTGAACCTTGTGGGATTGAGGAATCACTTGCGCCTAGGAGATCGCAAGGATCATGAACTAGGGAAGACGATTGTTCATGTTTGGATGATGAAAGAGTAGGGTGTGAGGATGTCGTGGAGCAAGCTATTCTCGACCCCTTGCTCCTCCTAATGGAGGAAGTGGAGTACTACGGGGGTGGTGTTTGTGTCATGGAAGGGGCGTGGCGGGATTCGAGAGGGAGATTAGTGAAGTAGTGATGGTTGGAGCGAGCAGAATGATGGAATAGTGGGGATGGATGATGAAGAGGGCGGAGTATGCAATTAAAGAAATTAGAGAAAACGGAGGGAAGAGGTGGGTGAATGTGTGCTTTTTTTTTTATAAAATAAATTTACCACCATAACCTGGCCAGGTACGACTTTTACTAAAATACTCTTATTAAATCGTTAATCATAAACAATAGTCCTAAGTCCTAAGTTCGTTTTACTTAAGAACAAAGAAGCTTAGCATAAATAAAATGCAAGTGCTTATGTCATGCTTGTGTTTTAGAAATGCATAGTTTACATCAAAAAAGTGTTCTTAAAAGAGACCCCGTTCTCAACTTAATTAGCACACTATCACATTCACCAACTTACTAATAACATAAACATAACTCATAACATGGGTTTCCTCACATGGGAAGCACAATACTGCACGCTCTACATGGTTGTGGGGTTCATCATAATAGAACCACCTTATAACCCAGAGGTAAGGGTTAGTAACCTCCTTATTACCGATGATTTTTTTAGGTAAGTGAGGTTTAAAACATGATTTTGCTTACTTGCTTAACATGGTGTAACTTATGCTCGCTCAGCATAATCTTCCACAAAGTGGAAGATATAAATCAACTTAATTACTTAATACATAACTTTTACTCCTTGTCTTAAAACATAACTTCTTGATGCATTGCAATGACGTGTTGGTCAAACTTAAGAACTGAACAATAACATCATAACATAAAAGCATATATGTGCATAACGTAAACGTAAAGACCAAGTACAAAATCACATAATGAAAAACTTTAACTTGAATAAATTAAAAAACGTAATGAAATTCGTTAAAGTGGGTTGCTAACTCGCTCGTTGAACCAACGCACCTTATTATACTAAAGATCCAATATGATAACGTGAGCGCTCAATCAAGGCCGTAATCGATATCACCACTAACACCATCTCGAATAACCTATTCCCATTGGCTTATTGACTCTGTTAACCTGGTCATTGCTGGAGGTGTTCCAATGTCCCACTTTATGGCTAGTAACCCCACTGGGTACAATCCATAATCCACACAAGAGAAGATGGGGGATGAATCTCATGTCTAGGTGATGTAGGTTATTTTTTGTTATTAGGTACTACTTAAAAGATTAAAACCTGGAACTTCTAAATTTAAATATGAAAATTGTGTTCATTGGTTTCTTTAATTATCAACCATTTTGTATAGGAGTTAGATGTATTCCTTTGAAATTGAGCTCGATTTTGGATTCTATCAACGAATTTCGACATTGATGTTATTTATCACTTTATAAGAAAGTATTATCCTCTAGTTTTTTCAGAAAAATAAAAACTTAGATTGTCATTTTAATTGAAGATTTTTCATGTTGATGCTCTTAGACATGCTTTTCTAGTGAATATATCATTTGTTGCACAACTGTGTTATAGTTTAGCGAAACATGGATAGTCAAAGGAATTTGATCTTATTGATATGTTGATTCACCTTATTTTTAGCTTAAACATTATTTTGATGGATTTTATTTCCCTCAAATAGCATCGTGTAATAAATAAATTTCATTTATCATGATTTTGTTTGAAAATTTTATTATTCACCCCACCCCCCACTTGAAATCCTGGCTTCGCCTCTGAGGTTAGTGGCATTATCACTAGACCAACTCTTTGTTCGCCAATCTCACCTCTAGATTAAAGAAAACTCTTGCCGGAAGGACAAACGGAATGGAATGGAGGTGGGTTTTGTGAGGGTGGAAAAGATGGTGAGATCGAGCTTCTGTTCTCGGCAGCTGGAACTTGAGAGAGGAAGGATAAGTCGGCCGCTTGGTTGCTCTAGCGTTCTCTTGCTTGGATGTAAGTATGTAACAGAGGTGTTGTAATGGCCTTCAATTAATCGTGTCAATGCTCTGATATGGGAATCCACTAACTGGCTGAGTTATGACTTAATTGCTTCTCTCGGTTGTGATCCCTTACGATTCTCACGTGGTTTGGGTCCTTGTTTCTAGTCTTGATCTAACCATATTTTTATTGTGGGTTGAACCTAAAATGATAATTTGGTATGTTACAGTTGTCATATCATCGTTGATTCTATTTTTTGAACTAATAAAAGACTTAATGATTGATATATGAATGACATATAAAAAATTGCGTAATACAAATGACAAACTCGCTTAAGGTTGATACTTAGAGTCTTTTTAGTAGAGTACAAATTTCGTCTGTTTCTTTATTTCCCCATGAATAGCACATCCTACCTGACTAGTAATATGAAAAGCTGTGAACGAGTGAGGCAAGCTTTTTGACCCTTGTAGGAGGCAGTCGCACACAATAGAAACGGGTGTTAATTACAACAGAGAAATCACGGTAGAATGGAGCATGAATTGACAGAGAGAATTCAGAACATCAGCTGTATCACGACTTGGAGTGGAAGCCTACATGAAGGAAACTATTCTGTTTGGGACAAACAACAAGAAACCCCCTCCCTTTCTTCAAACTCCAGGCTCCTATTGTCATTCTTCATCATCGGAGGAGGATGTTGCCCGTTCATCATTGCCCTGCATTTGGGGACCATCCACAAGTCGTGCAGCTCTGTGAGCAAGTGTTGCAGCACGGGCACATGAGATTGCCGCCTTGCAACGCTTGTATGAAACGAAAGCTTGATCAAGCGTAGCCACCACCGCTTTGAGTGCAGCAGATATGATATCAGGGATCCCGGAAGTGGATTCATCTGCATGCGACAACACAAATGCCTTTCGAAGAGCAGTCAGGTGACTCTCATCCTGGACGAACTCACGCGCAAAAATCATCTTTTCCCTAATTGTACCCACAAACTCATCTGGCATAGATTTATCTGCGTAACATTAACATATCAGTCAAAACCACCCAGGCACAAAAGCGAATCAAATATTCCATGGAAGAAACTTACGAAAGAGTCACCTGTCGATTCAAAACATACTAATAACAAGCCGAAGTGCGGTGCAAGAGAATTTCAATGGTACAAGGGAGAGAAAAAGAATCTAAGTACAATCTTCTGCCTTATGGTTTGACGCTAACCCTCACCTCAAATGCTCCATTCAAATGACTCCGCAAAACCAAGCTAAAACCTTAGGGTTTTGACAGCTAGCCCTAGCTCCATTAACGGATCTTAATAATGGCTGCACCTTTAAAACAACCCAATATTGTCCATACAATCAATCTTACACGTCGAGACAATCTTAAACTCCCCAGAAACCAGAACTCTTTCTTTGAAGTGTGATGTGCTCGAGAAAATCCTTCTTACACGATTCATTGAATGCACATAGGTTCTGCCAAATCCGTTTAAAACGTTCGACTCTCTTAATTCTAACTTGAATTGGCAAGGACTTAAAAGGTAGGCGATGATAAGGGGATTACCAGGACCGGGTTCATTCTCCTTGAGCAGCGTACTGATCTCGAGAATCATCGACAGACAGAGGTGCAGATTTTGTCGAATTACCTGTTGCTGCTCCTCAATTTCTTGTTGAGTCTTGGTTTGGGACTTCTCAAGCTTCGCAAGGTCCGTCATGTTTCGCTCAGCCATGGCGCAGGGGAGCGAGCACAGGAGAAAAGCTGCGGTTCCTCGATCATCACAGATTAAATATTGCCTGGTAAATATGATCAAAAAACAAAAAACAAAAAGAATATTGCTTGGTAAATCGCCATTCACTAGGTCTACGCCCAATCCTCTACCAGAGGCCTGTCGTCACCTTTTCACCGGTGAAGCCCAGTCGCATACCTTTCTTGGCCTTTTGGCGAAAATCAAGTGGAGTCCTAGGAATGATGGTTATGCAAAGTATAACCAGATCTTGGCTCTTTCATTTTTTAAGTGGGTTCAGATTTGATTAGGATAAAGTATTTTTAAATTTTAATAAACTTGTACCTCTTTTAATTTAAGTTACCTTTTTAAAAAAATTGTATAAAAATGAAGTTTACTGTGATCTATAAAATAATATTCATTGTTTATATATTTTGGGAATTATTTTTTCAGTTTATAAATATTATTCGATTTAACTTGAATTTTGAAAAAATTTACACAGAAGAACGAGCTTCCTGTTATAGTCTCGGAATGAGGTCAATTCTCTATATACTTCAAGTATTTTTAGGACTAATTATACCACCTTTTGTCTTCGTGGTAGATGATGGTTATTATATTCCTACACCACTATTCTATGATATATTTCTACTAACCAAGGGACTCAATGGATCAGAAAGAGAATGAGAATACAAGATCATCGGCCCAAACAGAGATGGATTTGGACATCAGAAGCTACTTTATTGCCAAAACAAGCAAATCTAGTAGTGCAGCAGGCCCATCTTTGTTCGAGGCCCATGAGAGATTTTCCTACTAACCGTCGCTTACAAATTGCATGAGGAGTTACTTGGCCCACTAGCAACCATTTGCACAAAAAAAAGGAGCGGCTGCCCAATATTGGTTCGACCCGCCGCTCGTGCCCTAGCTTTCCATAAGCTTCTTGAACCAACCTACTTCATCCACAAGTTGAAGGAATCCGAGTTCAAGTCATATAATGAAGGTTTTGACGGACTTTAGGAGGAAAAAGACTAGAAAGCCCCCTTCTATAATTAGTATAAATAGGAGGCTAGGCTCTATTCCCTAGGGGCACTAGTAGCAATCCATAGGGAGGGGGCATATTGTTGTGAGATTCGAGGAAGCATTCACCATCGATGCTTGTATCTATGGTGATGTCGTTCTACTTCCCTATGGTATGCTAGACGATATGTGTTAGCGATGTGAATTCACTAATGATTTATGCATATAGTTCTATGATTTAATGAGATGCCTATTGTGTTTATTATCTTTATCGTCAATGCTTGATGTCAATGTATATTTGTGTCATTAATTGTTTGAGTGATGTTGTCATGCATCGAGCTTTGCATTTATAAACTCGATCATGAACAATACTAACTACCCCATTCTAGGATAAGTGCACCCTAGATTGGCGAAGTAGTATAGTGGTGACCAAGGTCCTATTTGAAGGGTCACAATATCCTAGACTACTTATGCTCGGCCGTTATCTAGTCAACCTGTTACTTAGCAGGTGAGCAGTGGGCGATTACTGAACTAGAGGTCGATGGAGGAGAAGAGGTACCTGCGTTGCCTCCTTCTCCCTAACTACAGGAAATGACATGCAAAATGTAGAAGGACGACTTATGATGATCGAGGTGCAGAGATCACTAATCAAGGGATTGGTTCAATGGTCATGCAACCACTCCCACTCATACACTAATCCACTAGCCCAATGTCACCTTAGTTGGATTCATGTTGTAAGGATACGACCTATCTCCTCTAAATGGGTTCTACCCATCCACACGGTAGGTTGCTAAGTCAATGGTCACGCACTCAACACCCTAGCTTTACCTAGGTGGATGTCTAATATATAGGGGTATGGTCGCCTCGTCAACCATACTAGACTTCTTTATCATTCAACTACTCCTAACAAGCCAAGGTGCTCAAATCCATTCTAATTCATGCACTCCTAGGTGGTAGGCTACTATGAAAAGAATTTAAGAGATAAGATCAAGCATAATTAATCACCTACCACCTAATTTGAAACTAGGGAAAATGGGATACAGACAATCACACACTACTTGATGTCAATTTATGTTTGCGTCATATATTGCTTGAATTATTCGATGCTATTTTTTAGGGGTGGTAATCGGTAAACCGGTATCCGGTAATAGCGGATACCGTACCGGATACCGATTTCCATTCGGTAATACCGGATAAGAGTCGATAGTATACCGACGGTATACCGTAATACCGATTATTTAAAAAAAAAATCAAAACGCGCGGCTGAGCTTGAGTTTGGCGGAATTTGGAATTCAATTTGGGGCTTGCCGTCGAGCAACCCAACCCAGCAGCAACCCTATTTTTTTTAATCGATCGAGCAGCCTCCCTTCTCCTCAGCAACCTCCCTCCCTCCCTTCCCAGCAGCCAACCTTCTCTCTGAGCTGCAGCCCCCAGCAGCGCTCCCCGACCGCTTCCTCCAGCAGCCTCCATCAGCCTCCTCTTCCCTCTCACTAAACAAAGGGAAAAAAACCACACAAACCTAAACAAATGTGCATCATGTATTTGCATGTATTACTTTTATGTAATTAACGACAACCAGTGATAGAGATCATGCTATTGGTTTTATATAATCCTCTGTTCTTTAATTAATCATGGTGGCAGCTGAACTCATATTGGTCCATTATACTGCTCTATCCACAAATAAACTTATCGCTATCCAAAAGGCTTCTCCAATCTTCTGCTATAGCAAGGATAAGAAAGTTCCTTTCTCAATTTCTTTTTTATACAGAGAAGAAAGTTCCTTTCTCAATGCATTAACCGGTATTCGGTATATCGGTATTAATCGGTATCCGGTATACCGGATACCGATCGATTACCAGCCCTACTATTTTTACTAGATGCTTGAGTTATCAATGCTTATGATTGTATTATTTGTTACTATATGCATCCTGGAGACAAGGCATACCAATCTCGTGCATTGGCCTATTAGGCATCCTCTTTAGGCGTATATAGGAGGACTAGCCACACATCTATAATTGAATGAGGATGATGCTTGATAATTTAGATCATATATATATGCTATAGACTATATGTTAAGAGGCTCACACTTAACCATATGCTATCCTAACTTTCTTGTTCTTCGTTGATTAGTTGATGCGTGAAGCGAAAGCATGCATTAGCTAATCAAATTCTTATCGCACGAGGCATATGCCGGATAGCTAATGTCCTTAGAGTATTCACAGAAACATCTTGTTAATGAGAATGAATGCGTGATCATCTAGAATCACTACCTAAACATTAGTTTCATTGCTTTTTTTTTTCTTTTTTGCGTTGCATTGTATGTTTCTTTCCTTGCATTTGTAGTTTAGTAACTCAAATAGGGAACCTCAACCCACATCATATTTACTTTTCTTTGCATTACAAATTCGAGCACAATAAGTTAGTATTGAGTAGTTACAATGAAAAGACCTTGTGGAATATGACCCTAGGACATCTTAGGATTTTATAACTCGATACTAAATCAGAGTTCATTGTGATCTACAACATGATATTGATGTTCCATATATTTTGAACCACCCTATACTACCATCTATCGCCATTTACCTTATTCCTTGTAACTCTATTTTTGAATTTTTTGCACAGAAGGGACGAGTTCATTGTAATTTACAAAATGTTGTCATTGAGGGTTACTATTTTCTTCAAAAAAAAAAGAGGGTTACTATTACCTTTACCTTTATACAATTCAGGAATTTATGCTTCACTATGTCTCGTATTAACTATGAATTTGCACATGTTTTTCCTGCTAATTCTTGACCGTTTAAGGTTGCATTATCACTCATGTGGCCTATTTTACACTAGGTTGTGCTAGTTTGTGATGTTCCAGTTCTGGTACGTAAATGGATGCTTGGGAGCAAGTATCGGGACAATTTGGAGCGACCCACAAAGGAGCAAGGGAGAGTTACGGCCAGGCTTCCAAATTTATGACTTGGCCCGTAACTTCCAAGTCCGAGGACCATAACTTCAAGGAAGAGAAGCAGGAGGCTATTTCAAAGTTACGGCTGTAACTGTAACTTGCCATTGAAGATCGTAACTCTTGGTTTATGTTGCGTAGACACGGCAAAGTATTGGGGGAAGTTACTGGCTGGAGAAGCTAGTTATAACTTAGGTAACAAGAGCGTGGAGCTAGAGCGGGAGCGGGAGCGATAGCGTCAGAGCCTAAGTTGTTGAAGAATTCAAAATTGAAAGCGTGAATAGAGCGTCAATATTATATTATATTAATAAATAAAATATTATATTTTCAAATTTTTAGATAAAATATGAGCAATATCCAAGTCACTTATTAATTAAAAAAAAAAACAAACCCTAAATAAATAAATTTCTAAAAACCCCTACCTTCCTTATCTTCTTCTTCTTCCAAATTGAACTCTAATTCCCACCATCGAAGATCCCTCCACCGACATCTAAACTCGACATGCGCTTTGGGTGGCAAGAAATTTCAGTCTGCGGCGCCCGAATCGACCTCTTCTCTTCTTCTTCCTTCTCCCCCTCTATCTTTACCGTCCACAAGCACCTCCACCTTGTCACTCCGTCGTGGTCGTCGTTCCCTCAGATTCCACTCCATCGTTGTTGATAGACCGTCATTTACACATGTTTTTACCCCCGTTCTTAAACCGTTTGAGGTGTTGATTCTCGTGTTTTAGGCCGATTTCACGCTAGGTTGTGCTTGTTTGTGATATTTCAGGTCCTAGTACGTGAATGAAGGCTTAGGAGCGAGTCTGGGGTCGATTGGACGAAGAACGGACGAATGGCGAGGTTTTTGGGGAGCTGCACGGGCAGACCAGGGAGGCTGCACGGCCGTGCACGTGACAAGATGGCCATGCGCCTTATGCCGAGGAGACGCACGGGCAGACCCTGAAGATTGCACGGCCGTGCACCCTGGCCGTGCAAGATGGCTGAGGTCGAACTAAATGGTACGCCGCGTTTTGGAGTGCACGGCCAGAATGGTGTTATGCACGGCCGTGCACCCTGGCCGTGCGAGTCGGGAAAGCCTGGTTTTCGAGCCTATTCCGAGCCAAAAGGGAGAATCGTGTTTTGAGAGAAAAAACAAGCCATGGAGAGAGAAAGTACGAAGAACACACCCTAGAAGCTGTCTTGGAGCTGGATTTCATCGAATCGAGCTTGGAGATCGTCATAGGAGTGGAAATCATCGTCCCGGAGCAGATTATCCTCATCGTTATGAGTATGACTAATCCGATTCTTGTTTTCTCTTCTCTCTCTATGGAG